TTGCATGTGTTATGTTGAGATAAAGCGTGGGGAGGCAGAAGGGTGATTTACAGCATCCGCTGACCTGCTAACACACATTAAAACCACTTATCTCATCTTCATGTGGAATATTTTTTTTTCACTTATCCTGAATTAGCCAATATGTGGCAAACCAGCATTTTTTTTTTCTTTTTTTTTTCACCTTCAAAACCAGACTCCTTGACTTCTGGAGAGGAATTCTATTTCCTATTAGTTATCTGCCGTCAGCAGAGGCCCAGAAAAATGTGTGCTGAGACATCTTCAGAAATCCCACATGAGCATTTGCTTTGAGGAACTGGAAGAAAACTAGTCAAAAATGAGCTCTGAGTAATAGTAATCTGTTGTAACCCATGGATTTCTGATAACTCGCAGAGAGCACTAAGTTCACTCTGAAGATGCTTCTTCAAGTGACAAGCTATATTATTTTTACTTGGCCTCGGCTGTATTTTTGTCATTCTGTTCCTGTGTGCTTTTCTGAACAGAAACTAGATGAAATTCACAGGCTTTTTAGGATCGTTTCCCAGGAATACAAATTGGATTTCAGTGCTGTTTGGGAACAACTCATTACAGCAGATTGTGTAATTACTGGTAAAGCAAACAGAAATCACCTTGCTAATCAACAGGGAATACAGATGGAAAAAACAATTAAAGTAATCAGAAGCCATCAATATTTGCTTCACACAGCAAGTTCTTATTTGTCACTTAAAGACAATCCAACACAAGGGCATAATTTAATTCAATTCAATTTTTAACTAGGGATAGAAAGACTGTTTTAAATTGTTCATCTTAAACTCAAAGATTATTAGCTGCTTTTTAACTTGTCTGGCAGTGAAGTATCCTAACTAGAAATCTTAGAGCATGTGCTTTCCAGGAAACCATCTCGGAAAATGTAGTATCTGTATTTTTTTAAGCATTCAGTGAAAATGGTCCATTTTAAACCTGGATTGGAACTAAGTTTTGGTCAATTAAATTGAACCCAAAGGCTGCAATGGAGATGATGGATTTGTGATAATGGACTTTTGTGGAGAGATGACATTAGTGCCCGTTTAAGAGGATTTTTCTGTGTACGCCACAGGCAATGAAACTTGGCTGTGACTTTTTTTCTGAGCATTCTTACTAATGAGTTAGGGATTTTACATCCCTTTCCCAAGAGCTTTCTCGTGACAGCTTGTGTAGGGTACCGTTCTCTCCCCTCTGCCTTCAATGCATGATCAATGAGTGAAAAAGCTGTTGACTGCAACGCCTCCCATCTTTGAATGATGCTAAGCTCCAGATTGATGCCTTTCCCAAACTGACCACTGCAATGGAACAATCCATCCCCTGTCAACAGAGACTGGGACATAGCTCAGAATTAATTGGCTGAAACTCAAACTAGATAAGCTCAAGATAATATTTATAGGTCAGAGGAAACAATTGAAAGGAACATCAAACATGACACCAGCGTGCACAACCGGTGGAGTTTATCTGTCCCTTGTTTTAAAACCCAACTGTCTGCCTGTCGCAGGACACGCCTGGTTGAGAGCAGTTTTCCTAAACATTCATTTTGAATGCCATGCGCCTCCATCTCTGGCCAAGTTCAGACTCCTTGTTTAATCTGCTTTGTATGAGGAGGTTTTGATTGCATGAATGCTTGGAAAATATCTATTCTTTGTGAAAATATTTGCCTGTGCATCCTAGCAAAGAGGATTGTGCATAAACACCATTCCTGATGGTGATATTGATGTCTGTCTACGCTTCAGATATACTACAGTCCCTATTTTTCCCTCATTTAAAAAGAGCTGTGGACTGACTGGCCATCACTCCGATTCATGTGCATAGAGAAGCTATATTTGCAAGTGTAGAAGAGGGTTACTTTTAGCAATATACTTGCCATTTGCAGGGAGGTAACGTATAGATATACATTAATGCTTTTTGTTCAGTATATCCAAATTTCAGCAGACATCTAAAGCATCTTTCCCAGGTGCTCTAAGTTGAAATGAGCCTGTATTTTGTGATTTGATTACTCCTTTCTCTCTTCCTCCCAAAGAAATCTGTTGCAGCGTTGTTGATAGGACTTTATTGTATTGCAATGTATTTAAAAGCACTCACTTATGGTTTTGCTACGCTAGCACACTTCTTTGAGATGCAGAGAAGCCCATTATCAGAGATCATCCTTTAGGGATTCTACATCCAGCAAAAATAGCTCTCAGTTTGTGGATTACTGTGTGTTTTGATGTTCAGGCTTTGCAAGACCGAATTTTCTTTAGTAATCCACAACTGTGAGATGGAGCCTTTGCTGTTCCACAGGCCCAAATCAGTGTCAAAGGTCTTTCACAAGGCAGGGTAAGTACAAAAAAAAAAAAAAAAAAAAAAAAATTATAAGCAATACGCTTATACCCCCTCTGGGTTCACTACCCATTTAGAAATAATGAATACTTGCAAATTTTGAGCTGGTTTTATGAATTATTCACAACAGAAAAAGGATTCTGAGATGCATTTGTACAATGAGAAAACACAGATGATAGATGGTTTCACATGTCCAATGAAAAATCAACCATCACAGCTTGAATTTTGAATACTGATACCAAACTGCTAAGGAATAATTTGCAGATCAGGAATTTTTAAGTGAATAATTTTAAACAAATAAATTTGAGAAAATCAGACAAGTGGTTCATCTGCTTCTTTTGGAGCAGCTAATTCGCCCATTCACTCCCTTCTGCAGCTCAGTTGCAGTGATTTGGTTCTCAAAGGACCAAAAGGAAAATGTAAATTGAAGTAAAGAGTGTGCTGGAAAAATGATAGCGTGTTACTCTGCCAATTCAGAGTGACAGGGTGTGTGAGCAATAGGGTAGGAGAAGAGCATCTGTTAAACCCGCTAAAAATATAGTACCAGGTTCTCATAATCCGCATTGGGAAATGGCTTTGAAGAAGAGAATAGAGCATGGGGAAAAGCTTTATTCATTGAGAACACTAAAGTGCAAGCGATTTCCTAGAGTCAATTAATAACTAAAACAACTCAAGGGTGGGGCAAATTTTTTGCTAGATCAGGAGCCTGCAAAAACAACATTTAAATGTGGGTTAAGAAAATAAAACCCTCTAGGTCAGTGAGAAGGCTCTGGGGTGGATTTGCTGGGGATAAGGGGAGTCTCAGGGGCCCGTGGTCCCCTTTCCCCCATAGCACGGTTTTATGCCACATGTGCTCTGGATGCGTGGCAGGGGAGGTGCAGCCCCTTTCCTCAGCCCACCTGTGGCTGCCTCTACAGTATGTCATTATAGTCACAAATCCCACACTTAAAAAGCAAACACGTGCTTAAATTTTTGGGTTACATACTGATTTGGCATTCTTGTGTAGCTCCTGTTCCAAGGGGGCTTTTCACACGGAGGACAGGAGTTAGCTTAGTTTCTGTTTTACTCTCTCTGGTATTAATTAGATGTCATGCTATAAAGTATGTATTTCTAACAAGCGGGGAACTAATTTCAAACTGTTAATGATGCAGCAGAGCTCCAAACTGTTTCAGTGAATTCATCGTGAAATTGTTCCTATCAGGAAGACCCCTACTTACAGCCGTGACAATATTCAGCCCTCATCCAGCCCTCCTAGTCTTCAGAAGCTCATTAAAACAATAACTCCAATAACAAATTCCTGGAAGCCCATATAACACTTTAGGTGAGTCCTATTGGTCCCATTTTACAGATGGAGAAACCAGGAAAGAAATGCTATGTCACTCGACCTAAACCACAGTGAGCACAGTTTTCAGGGTCGGGCTATGACTTAGGAACTGGTGGTTTCCAATTTTATGGTTAGATAATTAAACCAGGCCTTCCTCTTCTATTGAAGCTAATCTGTGAAAAACGAGTGCCTTCCCTTTAAGAGGTTTCCAAGCATGTATGCAAAGAGGAATTTATGACCTACAATTTATGTAAAGAACTTCCTTTTCATAAATCAATTTACTAAAGCTCTGGAGAAGCTTCCAAAGGCTCTGATCCAGCAGTGCACTTAGACATGTCCATAACTTCAAACAAGTAAATTGTGCCATTGAAGTGCTTTCCTGGACTGGGGCCAAAGAAAGTGCAGTTCTCCTCTGAGTCAAGGTTCAGATGTAAAATGGGGAAAAATAATTTATCAAAAGTTTAATAAGTTACACAGTCATGTCAGAGCTCTGCCAGCCTTCCACATTAATACCTCAAGCTAATAAGAAATGGCCTCAGGGAGATAATTGCCTCCTTATTGATACGCTGTGATGAAATGTTAAACCTCATCTGGAAGATGTGGTGTTGCTGTGGCTTTTCCTGAATTTGGCAGATCCCACATCCAGGCAATGTGAAACTTTGGAGGGGACGTGCCTGGTACTAGCAACACTCCTGGGGCATGAGCTCACTTTTGTTCAACTATTACTTGCTTTTAAGGACTATCCTCATAGGAGAACTAAGTATTGTGATATTTCAAGGATTTAGAGTATTTTGTAAGGCTTTGTAATAGCAAAATCACTTTGACAAGAGAACTATTCACACCTTCTTCTGGACTCCTTCACTGGTAAATATTTGGGAGACAGTACTGAACATACTGTTACGTGCCGCTGGCAGCCTCGCTGGGAAACTACGCCAAGGACAGCTTCTCTAATCTGCTGAAAGACTTGTGTGTCGAGGTCATGTGCGGAGCAGTCGGAGGTAACCGGACCTTGTGCTAGCCGGGACTGTGGAACGAGATGTTAAATGCTAAAAGAAAGAGCGAGTTCCTAGGGACGAGAAGGGAATGTGACTCAAATTAGCAGGGTGACACCTCTACGTAACAACACAAAGCAGCATTCTCCGCCCTGGCGCGCTGATTCCTGGGGATGCACGGTTACGTATCAAGACCTCCTTCGAGCTTTGCCAAGGTTGTTACTCAGAATCAGAGTGACAGCTGTCATTTTGCAAACGCAAAGCTGCCAGACCTAGCAGCCCGTTCTTATGCATTATAAAATCCAACACAAGAAGCATCGTAGTTCCAAAATGATACTTACATCTACAATAAGGAAGTCAAGCCAGCACCAGGCATTGGTGAAATACTTCTTGAAGCCATAAGCCACCCATTTCAGGAGCATTTCCAAGACAAAGATATAAGTGAATATTTTGTCAGCATATTCCAGCATGGTTTTTATGTTTTTTCGATCTTCAAGGTAAATATCTTCAAAAGCCTGGAAATACAAAAGATTGATTAAAAACTTCTTCTAAGCTATGTTGGAAAGCATCGGTGCTGCACTGCAAGTCTGTAGTATTATTTGATGGGATATTGTGTACTGTCTGTGATTTCTGATATATTTTAATGTTACCATCAGAAAGAGTGCAGAGGCACAAATAGGACTGACCCAAACCAAATAGAGATCTGTTCAGCTTTTCCTTATGGTGGACACATGCTTAGCTATCTCTCTGCAGCCTCTACTGGCTGTACTGACTAGACATCCTTTGAGTGTAAGAAGAGCTTAAGCACCCTAAATTTGGGAATGTGAATCTGTGAGCAGGGTGCCACCCCAAGCTGCCCGAGGGCATCCTGCCTCAGCTCCCGTTGGCTGTGCCACTGCTTTCGGGGCACCTCAGATGTCCCAGGGCACAGGACGCCTGTCTTTAGGAGGCAGAATCCGACCCTTACATTTAGTCAAATACGTCTTATTGCTAATGATGACAAATTGGGTTATTAACCTGCCTGTGTTATAGAGTACCGGAGTTCCCTGGCTTCTGTTCAGCCATCGCATTTCAGGTAGCTACAGCTATCTGCCTCAAGAAATGCTCATTATTATTCACTTAACAGAACAATTATGTTTTAAAGGTCAAAGCATCTATCTACTCATCTCATCTGTCTCTCTAACTAATCTTATGCAGGGCATCACCAAAGGACTTTCAGTATCTGTATCAAATACAAGCAACTTAACCCCTTTAAAATATTTAAGATATAAACCAATATGCCTACTAAAATGAAACAAATAAAGTTGTCTCATAATTTAGCTTTCACTTTATAATGTACGTAAAATAAAATGCAGGATCCTAGTGTCAGGGTTGCATGTATACGGCCCGTTTTGGGGCTTCTAAGTCGAGCAGTGGTTACGCTCTGCTTCCCAGCTGCTCTAGCAACTGTCATCACACAAGCTGCTCCCGTGTCCCGGTAACCTGGATAACCCAAGCTTTGATATATTACTCTCGTCCCATCGTGTGAGCCAGAGCACTTGGCAGCAAGAAACAACATTATTTGAGAGGGTCTGTGCTAATCATCTTAATTATCTGCATTTACATATTTCAAGATCTGTAGCTACTTTCTGAGGGACTTCAAAAAGTTAGCAAACACCCAGTGCCTGGAGATACAAGAAGTGTCTTACTTGTCACTCAAGCAGTCACACTGCTCTCTTGCCTGCCAGGGAACAGTAATTAAACTGACAAGAAAGCTTTGGCAGCCTGTGCCAAAGCTTGTCCATTTGTCCCCGCACTTTGGGGTGACGTTTTCACTGCAACTTGGTCTCCTATCTTGCCTTCAAAAATGATATTTCAAGGGCGTGAAAGAGCTGTTGGAGAAAGCCGCAGAAAACAATACACAGAGAGACTGGAGTTTATCACTTCTTGCAGGGGCTCACTCACTTTGTCAGATGACTTGCTGTACTTTGCAATTACTGCAAAAATAACAACAAACTATTTAAAGTGATTTCCTCCTCTCCCTCCTTTGCTCTCCCTATTTTCTACTAACTTGTCAAAAAGTACATTGTGTTTTGTCCACTAAAAGCACACTGTGAGCCAGGAAGCGGCTTAATAAGGGATGAAAAATATGCTACCTGAATGCCTTAGGTGCGCTGTACTTCTGCACGAGCTGTGGATATTACCCAAATGACAAAACCCTAGTGCTTTGCATTTTTTCACGGTGACAATGGATGAAAACTTTGCAATATAAAACATCATTAAGGGTTATTTCTTCTGTTTTGCTTTGTGTGTTAGAAAAGAGTTAAGCAGGATACCTGCAGCGTTATCCACAATTACTATTAAAACACAGGCTCCCAGTTTAGGTGCTTACGGCTTAAATGCATAAGGAGGGGTTTTGGATCTTTTGCAGTAAGCTATAAATATATTCTGACGGTTTAACTACCACACACAAATACATACTGGCTTTTAAACTCCCTTAAGAACTTAGCATGTCCCAGGGATGTAGGCAGATGAGCTCAGTTTTTGGAAGAGCTCACCCCAGAATAGCAGAAGAAAAAAGTCCTGTGTTGCCTCCAACATCTCCAGTTGAAATACTGAAGCGCAGTGCTGATATGTGAGAAAATGCAGCATAACTTGCCCTTATACAGAATTGCACTGGCTAAATTGAAAATCACAAAAAGTAAATGAATGCATGCAATGAAAATTAAATGAGATTTATATTGCAGTGTTCAGTATCTAAGGCACTTTTAATTACACATGTAAGGAAGTGTATTCATCTAAAGTGTATTATAGCAAGCAACATGCCCCCTTTAAAATGTGTTAAAAAATTAACATGCTGATTCTCAAGCTGGTGCAAAAACTGTCAGACTCCATTGATTTCAGCAGAGCTATGACAATTTTCAGCAGCCTGCTATTTACCCAAGTTTTTCAGCTTCTTACTTTTCATAATAAAATAAAATCCCCTGGGTGAAATTTCAGCCCATCCCTGGTGGACCTGGAGAACAGTCCATTCCTTTCCTTCTTGCATCAACATTTATGTATTTCCACCTTCTTGTCTCCCTGCAGAGACTTTCTTTAAACTACATAAACCCAGTACTTCTGTGTTTTCCTCTTTTTTTAGGCCACTGATAATTTGTGTTGCTCTCCTCTGGAGTTTCTTCCATTAGCCCATGTCTTTCCCAAAGTGCAATGCCCAGAGCTGAAGCCAGTGCTCCAGCTGAGGCCTCCTTGAAGCCAACTGGACTGGAAGAACATGCTTATTTAAACAGCCCAGTGGGGTGGTTGGCTTTTGTGCGGTGCTATGAGGTAGTTTACTCTATCCTGTTTGTTGCCTGTTCTCTCTCCAGCTCTTTTTAATAAATCTGCTACCTTACCAGTCATCCTGCATCATGCCTTTCTGCCCGTGATTATTCCTGATGAGGTGAAGCAGGCACCTTTCTAAGATGATGTACCTCTTACTATTTAAGGCAGATTCATCTGTTTGGCTGAAGTTAATCCTGACCTCCAGAAATACACGGATAACCTGCCCAAACATGGCACTGTATCCAAATTTAGTAGGTGTATTTCTTACTCCATCACAGAGGAGAAGATCAGTGACCACCAGACCAAAGCCTGGAGAACTCTTCATATGCCCCTTTGCTCTATGCCCAGATAAAAACCTGAGAGAAATCCCACCAACTTCAGTGACATTCCTGACATGTAAATGAGCAACATAAATATACGCTGCCATCGCTGTGAAGAGCCCAGTGCTGATAATACAGAGAGGATAATCCCAGTATGCAGTGGGATCTCAGGAGGAGAGGAACCCTTACCAGGGTCCTGGGCAATGACCAACCAGCCTCCGTACATACACATTCATTTGGATGCAAGCAGGAGCTCTCTGTGCAGGGAAGGTACAGTGGTTTAAGCTAAGGTGTGTTCAAGACACGACAGGCGCCCACTAGCTCCATGTGTAGCACTGATTCAGTGCCCCTTGCATCTTTTATGATTTTGCTTTGCTGGTTAGAAAATGTGCTGAAAAAAAAAAAGAAAGAAGAAAAAGCCATCTCTGGAGCAAAATACAAGCGTCCAGATGGGAACTACCATGGAGCAGTTATGGGATGCTGAAGTAGTGACTCTGGGATACTTCCTCACACAGAAGACTTCCTTAAGGATTTGCTTTTCAAAACGTGTGCACATCATAATTTCATGTTATAACAGAAGAAAGTTCTCCCCCATATGGTAAAGGCAGGTGAAATCAGAAAAGCAGAAGACCTGTTTTAGCCCCAAACATGCTTTGCTTTGAGAAGTGAGCAGTAAGGGCTCATAAGATCTTAGAGACAGCTAACTGGAGAACACCTTCTCTGAGACCCATGTCCACTTTTAACCAGCTAGGAAATCCTGTTACACTTACCAGGGCTCCACTGCTCAGCAGGATCATGAATATGATGAAAGTTTCAAACCAGTTGTGTTCGACGATTCTGTAGCAGGTTTTCCGCAGCCTCCACCAAATTTTGCCTGGAAATTTTGTGATGTCCACTGAACAGCATGGGAAGAATCGCACACAAACTGAAAAGGAGCAAAATGAAAACAAAGCAATTGTTAAAAAAGCCCATTTAATTCTTAAAGCTGCAATAAGGAGCTGTTAAACAAGATTTCTTCCAGCAATAAGCTGCTGCATGGAGTCTTTCCTCCCTTGTTCTTCTCAGCGACCTCTTCTGCTCTGCCTTCTGTTTCCCCCTCTCACTCCTCTATTAAAAAACATTCAAAATCACTTAAAATGTGCCCAATTGATTTCTCCCAATGATTTTTATGATACAGAATATATTGGCCATGAGTCACCAGTGCCCTAGGTCAATCACATTGTGTTAGCTGAGCTCAGGCAGCACCCCTGATCAGGACTAATGACTCTAGCAGGGTATTACCAATAGTTTCCACATCCTTTTGAATGGAGGAAGGATATGTTCTTGGTACTACGATACCACTAGAATTACTCATTAAAAGTGGCAATCTGATGAAAGGGAGATGAGGGGAGGAGGTGCTACCGTGCAGATGGGACCAACGTCCTGAAGAGACTCAGACAGCAAAAGCAGGAGCAGATTTTGATCTCTTGGACTCTCATGAGCTTAAACAAGGCATTAGAACAACTTTGGAAATATATTTAGGCGGTTAAATCCCCTCTGATGTCAGCAGAAATTTAGATATCCAGTCCACAGCAAGTTCCCCACTGATGCTTCATAGCACTTTCTGACCTTAGTGACGAATACTGTGTGATAGTTAAATGCTGTGGTCGTAATGGGGACCACACAAGGATTTCTGACAGGCAAAACCATGGCCATTTTTAGTTTCCTTAGCAACACTCATTTGTTATAGCAAAAGGATATTGCCATTGGCAATGGACAGAGCCATCTCTCCCATTTTAAAAAACACCATATGCATTGTCTTGTGCTGGGTAAGAACTTAAAATTGTGTGAGAGGACACCTTGGTAACTAGGACTTGTCCTTTTCCAGGCTGGCCATTCAGCCTTATGTCAGATAATTTGACTCAAATTTTGCAACATTTGCTGATGAGAATGACCCTCAGGAACTACTTTATTTTCAAAAAGCAATGTTTTTACCCTACATTTAATCCATGTGTTGTATAGAAAGAGACTTAGCTATGGAGCTTTATCAGTGCCATCATGAGAAAAAAAAATCACAGGCCAACTTCTTCCATAGCTGAAAGGTGGTCAAGGTCACTAACATGTCTTGAAGCATACAACAACTGCTCAGAAGGGACAAGAGAGGACATCTCACTATGGTGATGTAATGCAGTGTTATTGCAAGTAGAAATAATATTTAGGCAAGGAAGCTGGGGAAGGAAAGAGGGTGAGTACCAAGGTTACGCAGACAGCAGATGCTGCTAATTCAAGGTGGCATAACAGAGGCACTTGAGCTGCATGTGATATATGAGGAGATCAAGTGCAACTCCCGGGATGCCGGGATTCCCAAGCAGCTGGAAGTGGGGCTCTGCTGGCAGCAGGCTCTGCCAGGAGAAAGAGAGCTGCTAAGCCTGCTGTGGTCCTCCTGGCATTTTCTGTAAGTTTTTATTAGCCCAGATCCCTGCTATGGAGCAGCAGAACTGTAGGACGTTTCATACATGAACCACTCCCAGATCTCCCCTTTCCCTCACATTTCTGAGATGTTTGGTAGGTGTAGGCCCTTGGCTGTACGAGGTTCTGGTATGGGACTAACAGGACAGTAAATCATTTATGCAAAGGTAGCGGGATAGCGATGCAGGTAACTACCTGTCCTCTAAATGCCTCCATCACACAGACTCACACCAGTTCCCAGTTTACCACTGTATTCTGGAATTCAGAGAAATCCTGGGCTCAGTTGAAATACACTAATTTAATCAAACTATTTAAGAAGAACATAATGCTAGGAGAAGATAGAAGTGTAAGAACTAGCTCGCTGCCTCTTTGTAGGTCAGGTACCACTCCAACAAAGGACAGTTTTAGCCCTCTAAGCACTTTAATGCTGAACACCAAAGAATCATGTCAAGGGATAAAAGGATATCATGTTAGTCACTATTTTTTGCTAAAACCAGTACAGTGCTCAGAGATGGTAATGCGTGTGATTTGCGTATGTTTTAGGAAGTAGGTACATGGAACAGACTTCAGGCATGCACTACTGCATGGTACGAGGATCCCTGAGCTAACAAACTCATATGGCAGCTCTGCTTAGAGATGTCCCATGCAGTTCAGTCCCACCAGCATGACATGACAGAAGAGGCTATTAGTTGCATCTCTTAGCAGTGCTGCCAGAAAACTCTTACGCTACTTCTCACCCACAGCCTGTATGGTCATTACCAGATTTCGGGTGTCTGGCCCACACTCTGTGCTGTTATGCAGGTACACAGGCCACCTCATTGTCAACTCAGATTTGGATCAGGAAGACCAAAGACTTGGGCTTAGATCCCTCATTCGTCACGTGAACAGCCTAATGAGCAGGCTGTTCACTATGTAAGTGTGGATTTCTCATGTGAAGCAGAAATCTCCTGTTGTACTGGAGGTAACCACTGCTTCTAGCAGAATAAAATTATAAACTTTCCATGAGCCTACCTTGTTCCCATAAACAATTTCATTTGGAAAAAATCAGCATTTTTCAGACTTAAAACATCTGTCCAGAAACTTTGCCCTCTTTTGTCCTAAGTGACTTCCTAGATGGATACTTGGCTTTTTAGTCTCTTAGATGAATGCCTAGGCTCGGCTAGTGACAGGTATGACATGCTCTGTCATGCTCTTACAGAGTAGAAATGCTCTGCAAGTGCCGCTGTAAAAGGTTAGGATCTTCCAGGAAGTGGTTTTCCCACCGTAAGATGGTTGGATGAATCGTTTCCTGGAGGGGTCTGCCTCTGCCTTTCCACTACACAGGGAGCCTACATGATTACCTGAGCCCAGGCACAGCTAAAATTAGGGGATCACTTTCAAATTAAATACTAATGAGCAGGGCACCGTGGGTTCCAAAGTCACTTCATTTGTGATGGAAAATACTTACAAAATGCTAAAACAGGCTATTGCTGATTCAGTCAGCTTCCATCTGATAATCTACAGGTACAGAGAGGTATTTTTAAAGACAGAAAGCCAGCTAGGACCACTAATCTTTTTCTTTTATGCTCTTTGATGGCTTTCATGCAATTCCGATCTGAAAAAAAAGTCCTAGTTGCTGACAGTAATACCTTGAAAAATCAAAAATAGCTTCTCAGATGAGTCAGCCCAAAATCACGGTGCTATTAAATCCCATGCTTTTGATTGGGCCCAATTCAGAAATGTTTAGACCAGATTCTGATACAATTACTAATGTCAAGTAGCACTTCCGTGAATAATCATGCTGGCCGCGATTCAGAGGAAATGCTATTTTTAACTGTTTATAAATCAAACAGAAAAAGAGAAAACTGAAAGAAAAAAGAGAAAACTGACCACAAACAGGTCTTTTAATGAATTAGTAAAGTTCTATTTCCATTTCAAATTTTCTGAGTTCCCTCACTGACTGTTATTTCATGCCTGTGCTTTTCTGGACTGTCTCGTAATGCTGGTAGCCTACTGTTCTGGTGACCTTAACCCAAGCTTAAATGCTGAATTAGAAGCTTCACATAACCCAACAAAAAAGTTATCTGACCTTGGTCAGCATTCTAACAGGTTTTGTTTTTCCATTTCTGTGAAATAAAAGTATCAAAAACATTCCAATGTGTCTAAAGCATGACCTGGTGAGGGTCTGAGCAATCATAACTCCAGCTGGCTTCTACAGCAAGGCAGGTGGTCAGCAGACCCCAGCTTCAGGTTTTGAAAGCTACTTTATCCACACGAAGAAGACTGTTCGTTAACACCTTTTAGCACAGCAAGTGTCAAGGCAGGAATAAACCCTTTGGCATTTCTTATAACAACATTACTCATACTGCCTTGTCTAATAGGTTTGTGCTATGCCCCTGAAATCAATGCTAGTAGGAAACGGGTTGTGCAGAAGAAGCCGACCACCTTGTGATTTAGTCAGGGCTTAGTTTTGACACCCTAATTCACGTTGGGCTACATCTTTTTTGAGAGCAACCTGGCTCATTTGCACCACGGCCTTTTGGGTAGTAGGTTACTGCTCAACAGAAACACAGAACAGCAGAAAAAGTCCTCCACAAAGGGTTGAATTATTTGCTGGTAAATCAGTGAAGCTGTACTGAGCTGCATTAGTGGTCAACTTGTCCAAGGACAATGTCTGCTTTCAATTCATATTTGAACACTACATACCATTTCTCTCAAAACAGAGACCTATTTACCAAGAAACCTTTCCAAATGCATCGGTATACTATGATATTATTTACTTTTTGTTTGCTTTTCATAACAAGGGAATTGTTCCCTTCAAGTCACTGGGGTGTCTTATGGCACAATCACAAACTGCAGATTAAAACGTGTCCTAAACCACAGTCTCCACTGGAGGTGTGACAGAGAAAGCTCTTACTTAAGCATCTGCCACCATGATAAACAAGTTACCGGAAAAAAAAAAAAAAGCAGGAGGAATTTAATATACAATGCATTTTGTGTAAATATTCCTTTGGTTCCACATTCACATTTTCTAGCCTGGTGCCTTATAATCATGGAGCTGTTAGACCTGATTGCATTACCTTGGTGCATTGGGAAAAAAATTTCTTTGTAAGTGTGGGAGCTATACTGCAAAAACTTCCTCCTGCATGCGTGACAGCCAAGCCTATTGATTTCAGAATTATGAGTAAAGACTTTACAAATCCACTGCTTGTTCACACCAAAATATACATTTAAATTTACATAAAATTATTAGATTTTGGATGGATTGGGCTGCTGATTCTCTTCAATAAACCAGGAAGACCAATTAATTTTTTCTATACTGTGGTCCAGTAAGTCTGGTACCTTGTGTTCAAACTGCAGTAATTTTGTAGCTACTTTTACACAGGAGTTCCCAGTTACTGGGACATTCATTTTTAGAACAAAACAATATTTTGCTTAGCTTTGAATGCTGGTTACAGCATTGCTTGGTTTGACACAAAGAAAATACAGCTTCCTCAGCACAAACTCAAGCAGGCAGGTATTCATAACATGGTTTTGATATATAGCTATCTGCCAAGCTGGGTTTCTAACGACCAGTCTGGCTAGCTGTGTATGCTCAAGCAAGAAAGCAAGTCTGGTTGTATTGTCCCTTTGTAAGCCCCCAGCTGTCTCCCCGTGCGTGAAGAGAACAGGACCACTGCAGACCCTCCTTATTTAACCCGTTAGGGCCCCCTAACCCACTGGCATGCATGGCTGCGTTTTTAGCTCTAGGGTTAACACAGATTTGCCATCACTGTCTCCAGCATTCGGGTACCTGAGACACACATGGAGGTTTGAGTCTTTTCTCATGTACTACAACCGGGTGCTGCCAAGAGAACATCTAACAAAGCCACAGTCTGCCAGGTGTTTTTACTCTTCCAAGGGCTTTACAAGGGTACATTTCTTGTTTATCTGCTGCTACTCTCCTCAAAACATATCCTCTCAGAGGTCACTACAAATAACGATGTGACGCCTTGAAGCAAAGATAGCGGGCAGCCTGGTCCACCACCGATGTCAGCCCTGCTTTGAGCAAGGGGGTGGACGAGTTGAAATCTAGAGGTCCTGTCCAACCCAAATTAATTTAATTCTGTACGTGCGGTAGGACTGTAAGAGTTTTATGACATCTGAAAACTGTATACAACAAAATACTAGCATGCCCTTCCTGACGGAAAAAAACATTGTATCTCAGATATTACGGCTAGAGGAAAAAAATACCTTAAAACTTGTTTTTGTTCTGTGATTTTTTTCCCTAGGATGACAGTTAACACGTTTTGTTGGGCTTGGTTTGATTTTACTCAGCCTTTAAACATCATCTGGTGGCAGTCCCTGTAGCTCAGTTTCAATGTGTTCAGTTTAACGGTCTGTTTGAGCTCCTCTTCGCTTTTTTATTTCTAAATGACTGCTAACTGTGGTTGGGGAGGGTGTGACGCAGATCCCACCATTAATCAGAGTAACTTCACTGTAGCGCATGGCATTTCCAGCTGCGATAATTGCTCCTACATGGTCACATGAAAAACTGGTTGCGGGCGTCCTCGGTGTCACGAGTTGCGACCAACTGCGCGTTGAGCAAGGTAGCTCATTCTCGCACGACCATCTGACGATACTCCTTTGAAACCTTTGCCAGCGGGCTGTGTCCGGGGAATTACGCTTGAGGACTTGGTGAAAACTTTCTCCTATTAGGGTCTGGGAGAGAGGAGCGTGCTGGGGCCAGGGGGCTCTCTTTGGATGACCTTCTGTGAGACACAGAAGAGAATGTCCAAACAGATAGCAATTTTTAATGCAGAGAACGCATACCAACGGAGGTAACAGGACTGGAGTGTTGCAAGGCATCTGGAGGAAAAAATACCCAAATAGCTGGCATTGCCTACATGTTGCTTTCCCATCAACTGGCTACAAGAATGATCTCTCCATTTCTATCGGGTTTTTCCCAGCAATACTTGCTAGCTGCCAGAGCTGTGACCCTACCTTGGCTTCACATTTCCTGACCCAAGAATATTCCCCGTTGACCCTAATCAAAGCTATTTTGAGATGATAACGAATTAACAAGTCTCCCCAAGAAAAACGACCTATGGTTTATCTGGGTCACCCAACTCCGGGAAAACTGTGACCTCAGCAAACTTTCAGCAACTATTTCAAGAACATGCATTATCTTCGTTGCCTTTGTTATCTGAAAAAGGGGGCTGAATCCGGAACGTATTTGTTCAGGACACAACCTATGCTGGATGTATTTAGAAATGTCATAGTTTGAATTTAGATAGCTAGTGAGCTAACAAGGTAAGAACTTAACCCTTCCCCGCTCTTTTCCGCTTCATCTCAACTAATCTCCTTCTTTAACAAGTATTAGCTGGTCATTCTCCCAAATATACCCAATGTTGTTGTATCCCTTTATTACAAGCCAGTAAAGGCAACACTATATAATAGTGTTATTTGATAAGTTTGCCCAGATATAAGATAAATTATAAGATATTATATCTTATAATTTAATAATATATAATATTAATATATATAAGATTTATAAGATAAATTTGCCCAGTGCTTGCCCTTCAATAATTCCATTTTAGTACTTTATAACCTTGTCCTATCTTAGCTAACTTAGGCTGTTGTTTGTTTGCCTGCTTGTTTTTTAACTAGACTGAAATGATAACTGCATGAGGTTTAATTGCAATGGAAAGTTTGTGTAAAAATATTGGAAGGCATTTAATAGAAGAAGATTATAGGAAAACACTTTGTTTCCATGCATAAATAAAAACAAACGTTAATGTCATTGCAGTAAGAATCATTTGGACTTTCAGTTTATGGCACTTTGACTTGAAATTTTATGAGCGAACATTCACATGTCAAGTTTATGCATTTTTGCCAAATCCATAAGGAATGTGATCACATTTAGCCTACACAGTAGCCTCTGAAAAATCTGCATGGATATGTGCTGTACAGGAGAGCAGAGCAGATATGTTGGGGAGGACGTCACCTGCAACTGCATCCCCAGTGCCCCTGGACACCCTGCACTGGTCCAAGGGCTGGGAGCGGGTTCTCTTTCAATTCCCATTCAGAGCTCTAGGCTCAGCTGGCCATACCCTGGGAGAAGAGGAAAACACCCTGACTTGAACAGGGACTGGTGAGGAACAAGGAAAGATGACGAATAAAAGGCAAAAGGCAGGAGCTGGGATGCTCCTGGGAAGGGAGCAGGAGCCAGCAGGGTGGATGTAAGCCAGGGCAAGCTTGGGGTTCAGCCCACAAGGCCTTCATATCTACAGTTCTCTGTGGCTAGGATGACCAGTGGTCTTCAAAACTGGCTTAATGCTTCCAGTGATCCATCCAGAAGAGCACCGCTTGCTACCCTGCGTCCCATTGACAGCAGTGGAGAAGATCTGACAAACTGGGTTGGTACTGATGTGGTCCTGTACGATGGAGTTTCAGGCAGTTCTGGTTATTTTAAGAAAGAGTAAATTAGAGTGCTACTGCTCTGGGACTGAATCAGGGCTGTGCACTGAATGAAGTGATGGGTTGTGTGATGTTTGCCTTTTTTCTTTTAAAGGAAGGCGATCATGGCCAACCACAGTTCCAGAATTTGTAAACTGGCATCTGACTAGCACTGGTCTTACAGCACTGGTTTGTTTAAGCACTTATAATATAATTTCTCACTTTGCAGTGCACAAAATAGATTGCTGCTCACTAGCTTCATTAAGAAATATATTGTGAAAGAATGAAAACACCAGATCTAATTTCTAAATGTTATTGTATGGGCCAGAATAGTTACAGCATAGTACCATGCTTTCTTCCGTCAACTGCATTAATTTTCGGCTACTGCTTTTAAGCAGAGCTGCCAAAAAAATGTTTAGATCCTAGGGACATTTGTAAGCCCTGCAGGGCTCCCTTACCTCATTCAATCATCGTTCTCACACATATAGAGATGCACATTTTTGCTGACTTCAGGGGCATTCATATACCCAGCAAATCATCTCTGTCTGAACCCATCTGAGCAGCTCTGTTTTTATTTATAATAATCCTTGAATTTTCAAGGGAATATACTAACATTCAGCTAACCCTATTTTTCCTAACCCAGATTTAAAGAAAAATGAGGAATCTGACAGAGATCATATTTGGAACAGAACACACTCTGAGAATAAATTACGTACGATGTTATTTACCTTATGGATTGACTTAAAAATAGATCTTCTGATGTAGCTGGGTTTTAAACCTGCATTTTGGAGCAGGTTGGTGATAAAAAATTAGTAAAATGCTGGCTTATTCAGGTATTAAAATCAGTTATGTAAATGTGAATTGTTGTTATCTAAAATAATTAAGTAAAATACCCTATACATAGCACATCCCTGGTCAGATGAATGTTACTGAATATGCTAATCTTAACGCCCTTTAAAATAAATGGAAGAGAGTCCCTGGGACTCATGAACTCTGGAGACAGTTTCTGTTAACTGCCTATATGCATTTAAGCAACAGAAACATCATGATCTGGTTAGTCCGCTAGCAAATTTGATCATGCACACATATTGGAAGGCAAAAATCTTCATTGGCCAAGTTAGAAAAATCAACATATTAAAAATCCCCTCTACAGCACAAATCATGATGAAAAAAGCCTAGCACGTTAGAAGCTGCACAGCCATTTAGAGCACGCTTTTGGCTTATCTCACCTTGGAAATCTAAAGACTAATGTTAAAAAGTGATTCTGAGTGTGTGTTTGGAGCATTACAGTAGCTAAGAAATGAAGTGCATCCAGTGAAATACTCCTGCAAGCAGTCAGAGCAACGTGGCGTGAAGGTGGAGAGATGTTCACTGGGAGAAGATGGAGAGATGTTCACTGAGAGAAGAGGAGGATTCTTGCCTCAGCTTTACAGTGAAATATGCAGGCCCTTACCTTCAGGGAAGCAATCTTCAGGCTCCATCAGCTCCTCAGCAAACTCGGGGATCTGCTCCAGCAGTTCTGCAGGATTTGTCAAATCCACTGTGCTGCCTTCAGAAAGACTGATTTCATCAAGCTTGTTGTCAACAAGAGCAAAGACGAGGAAAACAAATTGATCAATCGCCCCGAAGGAAGTAGCTGAGATTTTATTCCCCTAACCAATATCCCAGCTAAAGCCACCACAACAGAGACATCGCCATGCACTTCACACGGTGCTCCCTCCTCGAGTGACAGCTCTGCCTACGCTGCGGTGAGCTAACAGTTGACCCATCAACAAGAACAAGAACAAAAAGACAACATGTAAAACTTACTTTTTAAAAGAAAAGAGAAGCAAACTGTAGAAAGATAGTGAACAGCCATTGAATATTAGTGGTAGGTGGAAGCTTGGAATGACTGAACCACTCACGATTTTAAGGCTTGTACATCCTGAAGGCTCATACCTTCAGTATGGGGGGGGACGACACACCAGAAGTGGGACCTAGCTCCTGAAATGCTGAAGGATGAATTTGAGGACCTGTGTTGGGTTCCTGTCTCTGGAGGCTCATTTCTGAGGCTCCTCACCCACAACTGCTGGGTGAAACCTGCACCTTGTCAGTTGGGACCATGCTCTGCTCCCTCCTGCCACAGCTTCTCCTCCGAGATGAGCAGAAGTCCCTCTGTCACCAGGGTCTGGTCACACGATGCCACAGGCATGCACATGTGAGGGGGCTCTTCCACCTGCCTCCTCCCAGGGCTAACTTGATCCCACCACGTGATGTGGCCCCTTGCCTTTTGGTCACACACTTCTGATCTCAAGGTGACGTAGGAGGAGGGACACATGGCTTTTGAAAGCCTTTCACAGGCTCTGTCGCTTGCCTGAAATATTCGACATCACCATCTTAGGCACACTGTTTAAATTCAGCGTTTCTCAAATCCTCCACTGCAAAATGGGGACAAGAATATTCCCGCTCCCTGAAGCATTGTTTGTCTTAGCTATTTAGAGCAGGAACTCTCAAGTAGATCTGGGTAAAAATTTCTGGGGAATATATTATTTTAAAAAATTGTTTTAGAGGCTATGCAAGAAATTGGGTTAAATACAGCAAAGGAACTTGATAAAAATCTTATGGTGTAGTTAGAATTTTGGCTGCATTTGGTATTAAAAGAGATATGATACATGATTAAATATGTCACCCAAATACAAAATAGAAATTTCATTTCAGGTCAAAGTTTTCTTTTAACAGAATCAAAACATTTTCTTTGGAAGAAAACAGGATTTTTTTTCCATATTTTATTTTACTAGTCAAAGTAAAACATTTCTATTTTGTGTTAATCCAAAATTATATTTTACTTGATTATTCAGCTTGGCCACTAAAGTGAAAGATCTAATATTTGCCCAGCCTTGCTCATAGTTTGTTTCTGACTGTATTAGAACGCTCTCTGGCACAAGTGGGCAATGCCAAAGCTGGTTTCTTCTATGGGTCATGTCAATGCAAACCAGCTATAAGCAGGAGTCAGGAGAGGTGGGTTATTTGTTAACTGTCTTATTCTGTTCTTTGAGTACCTACTGAAATCTTTTTTGGCTTTATCTTGCCATACTATTGTCTCCATTTAAAAAAATGAGGACAATAATACTTACCCATGCTTTTAAACAACCTGTGAGATAGTTATATGAGAGATGGCATGTACACATAAAATATTATTTTTATGAGGATGATGGTGGTGGAGTTAGAGAATAGGTACGGCTTTATATATATATTATTAATGTGAAAATGGGCCCTCTGTTTTCCAGTATACAGTCAATGCAAAATTTATAGCTGAATTCAGAGAAATGCTGAACCTGGGGTAAAATGGGCAAGACTGAACATTCCAGCAATGCTTGCAAGCGGGGATGGAAGCTACTTGTTTGCAATTAGCTGCAGCATCCAGAAGATCATAGTCTTGGCTAGGGTTTTTAATGCTCTACTCAAAAGGTCTGCAAACAGTCGAGAAGAGACCTTTTAAAAAGAGAGTCAGAACAGAAAGCACAGGTCAAAGACATGGATAAAGCTTCTAAAAAATTGATACTCAGAATGCACAGACTACCAACTGTATATGATGGTGGAAAAAATGTCATACCAACTTTTAGCACAGTCAGAAGTTTCTGATACTGTTCATTAGGGCATGCATTTAGTCATTATCTGTTCTGTTACGAAGACGTCAAAACACAGATCACTGAAATAGTCCTAAATCATATACAGCTGTAGGATGTAGAAAATAGGGGTTCCAATGAGAAAAGAAGCCTTGTTGGGTATAATTCTTACCAATAGACAGAAATCAAAGAAAACTGTGAGAACAACGTCGGCTTGATAGCATTGTCAATGAGAACGCTGTATTTAGCAGAGACAGGTTAGGAAATTCACAGAACAGAATAAGGTGCAATTATAACAGACTACCAGGAAATAAAGAATCAAGAATTCTCGAGAGTTATTTATCAGAAGGAGTTTTCAGGAAATATTAGAATCCATCAGCGTTAAAGGGAGATGGGGAACATGCAAGACAAAACAGACAGGCTTTCTTCTGAAAGACCTTCAAAGAAGAAGAGGCAGCGAACATGGATTCAGAAAACACTAGGCAAAGGTTTGAGGGTCTGAACTGGGACTAGAAAAAGAAGGAACCATACGTATGATAGAGGAGGGAAAAGTTAGAAAAGCTTGTAGGAAAAGCAGCAAAGGTTACTCTTTTCCAAAAAGGTTAAAGGGATTAAGAAGGTTTTCATGAACTCAGTAATGGAAAGAAAAGAGGTAGAGACATAATAACAATTGATGAGGGAGATGTAACTAATCAAAATTTGGTTGCCTAAGAAAATAAAATTTTTTTAAAAGAACCCAACAAGGGGATCAATAAAAAGAGGAGGGAAAGCCTGTTAGAATTAATAGAAATATAAGTAGAGAAATATCTAGAAAACCTGAAACATATGCAAATCAACAGATCCAGACAAGGCACATTGTACGGCATAAAGGGATCAGATACACCAAGTTAACACACCGTTAGGAATCAATAATGAATGCTCATGGAAAACTGGAAGCAACCCAGGAGAGCAGCAATAAGTAAACACAATACTGAGCTTAGAGAAAAGGAAAAGGGAATAATCATGGGAATCACAGATCACTAAACTCTCGCTGTAGCTCATGATTAAACTAAATTAAGTAAAGACTCAGAGGAGGAAAGGAGACTGTGGTCTCGGAGTGCAATGTCATAGACAGATAAAGGCAGTGAAGTGGTTCTCCTGTCTGCTAAGGGTACTGTGCACAAACAGGGTGCAAAGAGGCCAAAAGACAGCAAAAAGAGCAAATACAGAACGTCCTCTCTCTTTCTTGGAATAAGTGAGTGGAGGAGGTGTACTAGGCAGAGACAACGGGATCCGTCAGAAGCCCCTTTGGGAGACCTCCCACTAATGCATAAATTCATGCTGCAGAGGGAAGTTTTTAATGTGTTTCTGGGTGGAGTGGCTGTTTTGAGTACCTGGACAGGGCTTCCACACCCACCTCTTGTGTCTGTAGTAGTGGCAAATTGATCTGAATGAGTTTTTCAAAAAGCCTTTAGCACCGAGATGCTGAAATCTCATTGAAAGCTGATGTTTGCTCAAGGCTTAACTCCCTTATCTCCTTTCCTCTCTCCCTCACCTCTGAAGATCACATCCTTAATCTACCAAATTGACATATGATATCTAAACTTTAAGAAAATATCTGGATGTCTATTATAGAAAAGTCTCCTTTTAAAATTAATTGTAATTGACTTAGATTCACCCATTGCTGCATGGAGAAAAGCCATCCTAAGGACCCAAATATAACACAAACTTTGTCTTCAGAGGAGGAGATCTGTAGGGATTAGAGTCAGCAGTATCTTCACTAAAGATATAGAAGAAGTACTGACCGATATAATCCTCATGTTAGCCGGTAACATTAAATTGGAGAGAGTATTGAAACCGAGCAAGCAGGAAGGAAAAGAGAAGTGAAACATGGACAGAATATAGCAAAATGAGACTTGACTCAGAACAGTACGAATGAGAGAGCTCAGGGAAAATTTCAGTGGAGATCCTGGAAACCTGTAACCCCAAGTCACTTGGAGTAATATCAAAAAATTAGACGTGATTTTGCAATGGGATGTAACCGTGCAGAAAACCTATATGAAAGCATCATGTCTAGATAATGAGATACTATTTCCTCTCTTTACGGTTCTGTGGAAGTTGAATTTGGAATATTGTGCTTACTTCTTGGCAAAACAACTCCAAAAAGGAACAACTGAGGGAGTTGCAAAGGGTAAAGAGGTAAAAAAAAGTCAGATAAAGGGCACAGTGATAGTAATTTACAAGAAAAGATGAAATTACAGAACAACGGTGTGTGATTTTAGGGGGTAAGCCAAAGACCAAAGGAAGCAAACAATAGTCTATTAAATTAAGTTATATTAATTCATAAAAAGAGAATGATAGATAAAATTGGTAATGAGGGAGTTGCAAAGGGTAAAGAGGTAAAAAAAAGTCAGATAAAGGGCACAGTGATAGTAATTTACAAGAAAAGATGAAATTACAGAACAACGGTGTGTGATTTTAGGGGGTAAGCCAAAGACCAAAGGAAGCAAACAATAGTCTATTAAATTAAGTTATATTAATTCATAAAAAGAGAATGATAGATAAAATTGGTAAAAGAGAGTAATGAAAGTACTTTGAACCAAAGACCAAAGGAAGCAAACAATAGTCTATTAAATTAAGTTATATTAATTCATAAAAAGAGAATGATAGATAAAATTGGTAAAAGAGAGTAATGAAATAGTACTTTGAAAAAAAAAAAAAAAGGGGGGGGGGGGCTGGTTATTAATGCAATATACCCAGCCATGAGATTTCTTCTAAGCAAGTGAATTGTTCCCTTTGGTTAATGAAGAAATCCAAGTTGCCTGAAACATTTGTGTACATTTGTACACAAAGCTGTACAAAATATTTTGTGGGGCAGTGTTTTGGCAGAGAAATCAACTAGTTTGTTCTCTGAGGTCTTATCCACCTGTGACATCAAAGGTTTTATTTCTATGGTGTCTTTTTGATGATTTATATAGAATGAATTTTTA